TTCATCGTTGCTCACTGCTGACCCCTAGTGGTGGGAAGCGGCAGGCCCGGGGGGAGCAGCCCCCTGGGCACCCTGAGCAGAGACAGGGCGCCCCCTGTGCTTCTCTCTGGGGACCTCAGGCAGCCCCCCACCCCACCCTGCAGCACTGGACACCGGTTCCCTCCTCTGCTCTGGGTATGTCCTTCCTGCTGCAGTCCCACAAAGCCGCAGCCACGACCCTCCGCTGGCCACAGAGCGAGTCTGGGTGTGGCCGCTAGACAAGCCCTGTGGGGAAGACCCCCATGGCCCCAAGCAGGTGCACACAGAGCAGCCGGGATCCACATGTGCTCCCAATCTTGCGTCCTGCCTGATGGCTCGGCCCTTCTCCCCCTGCGTCTTAGGAGCCTACAGAGCCAAGGGCCAGGCATCTAAGGCAAACCCGCGGCCTGCTGTCTGAGTGATATTCAGGTACTTATATGGATATTGATATCCAGGATGTGAGTCGGTGCACCCAGAGCTTCCAATTTTCCACAAAGAGCCCAATATCCAACTTTTTTGGTGACTGAGGGAGGTGTGAATGTCGGCAGCTAATCCTATTTTCCTCCCCCACAACCTCTCCTGCACACAACACACAGCGCCCAGGCCCCGGGTTTCAGCCTCTGCCTGAGGCAGACACGTTATGTCTCTGAGCCCCCAGTTCCTTCTCTCCGAAGTGGGTTATGACACAACCTCAAAACGTCGTGAGAATCCAGTGAGACGACACGTGTGCAGAACCCCGACCCAGGTTAGCACAGACCATGTCAATCTCACACACCACTTTCCACGCTTCCCAGCTTCCAGGTTTTACTGTGGTTCCAGCCACTTTGCCCGCTGGACATCCTTTTGGTGTCCTCTGGGCCTTCTCTCCTGTCTTTCCGGCATTAGTCACTTTCTCCAGTCTTTTGAATCCCTGAGGGGATTTCCTTTTACACAAGTGACCACGGAGAGCAGAGCTCTGCCTCCGGAGAGGAAAAGGCTGTCTGCTCCTGGAAGAAGGGAGTACAGTTCGGCTCCTCCTGGTAGCAAAGCCAGCGTCCTCCGGGATGCTGGGAGACCAGGAAGATTCTGGAATGGACTCACATGGGACACAAGAGAGGGCGGTATTTACCTCCTAACAGTCCTGTCAGGGAAGCCGAGCCCCTCCAACCTGCTATCCTGACAGAAATTCTCAGGTTCAGCCTGGAGACGCAGCTCTGAACCAGGGGTGGTCAAGAGAATAGGAGAAGCAGCCTCCCTAGGGGACCCGCTGCGTCTCTGTGCTGACCGTGGCTGGCGTGGCTTCTCTGGTCCAGAGCGGACATGGTCCTGCCAGAATCTTCCGTCACTGAGTCCCACGACCCAGTCTCTCATCCCTGGCTGAAGGACGCCGCCACACTCATGACCCTGGCTGATAACACGGCCTTCCTGAGCCACAGTTTATCAAGAATCTACTTCCAGATTCTTCCACATATGGAAGATGAATGGAGACATTACTTCTGAGGATGAGGGTTGAGAAGGACATAAAATCTCTCTGTGGCTGGTTCAGTTTAGCTCAGGGGATCCTGGGGCATAATCTTCATACCCAATGAGGATGTACAGAAATTCCAGCTCAGAGCTCTAAGTAGATCTCTTCCTCTCTCTCCCGTTGCCCCCCTCTCTCTCACACATACACTCGGCACCACTGGCCCGGTCCACACACACAGGCTGAGCCTATCATTCAGTGTGGAAGACCGCTGGCTTCAGAGAAGGTGAAACCATCCTGAGTCTCTAAACTGAGCCAAAATTATGAGTGACCATGGCCAATGCATGCCCGGAACCGCCCTTACTACAGACGGACTTGTAGCATCCCCACTAAGCACAGCAGTCCGGCCCGTCACGAATTCCCAGCTGGGTGACACTGGGCAGCCCACTGGACCCCTCTAGGCTCCAGCAAAATGCTGGGCAGACGTCCTGAAGGCTGCCGTGTGGACTCAGTGAGGTGACACGCGAGCCACATTCGTCCGGTTCCGGGCGTACTGTGTTCAGAAGATAGTCCCGCTACGTGTAAGCTGCCCTGCACTCACGCTAACTGTGAATCTACTGTGGTTTTTGGAGCTTCACCTGGTTTCAAGTCCACTGCTGTTCAGAGAAAAGAAGCTGAAGGGGGCATGTAAGTGTCAGTCAACGGTCCCTCAGCCCCGAAGAAGCTCCCCAGACACTCTCACCCATGGACAGAGGAATCTCATGGAAATAAAACTCTACTGTCAGTGTTTCCAGCGGGGGGGATCTGACAGGACACCTTGTGAGGTCATGCAGAGAAGATGAATCCTTGCACAAAATGGCGACACAGGAACCTCTCTGGAGGGCTATATTCTTATCTTTGCAAAATGTAATTGCCTCACTTGGGATTTGGGAGAAACACAATCTGTGCCTAAGTGTTCTCTGCGGTGCTTCTCCCTGGGGCGGGCGGGGGCGGGGAAGGACAGGCACGCGGCCCTTCTGGACATGGAACCACCCAGAACTGCATCTAGGCAGGTGGGGGGGACCACAGCAAAGCCCGCCTCCCAGTCAGGCTGCATGTGAGTGGATGGACCAACCACGACATCATTAGGGAGCCTTTCAAGACCACCAACCAGCGCTGAGATGCACAAGGATGAGTGCGAACTCTGTGGCTGTGTTCTCGAGTTACTGTGCGCACCCAGTGTTCCAAGAAGAAAGCCGAAGGGGGACAACCCATCCTGGACCAATGTACCATCTTGTGTACAATCTGGAACCGGAATCTGTCCACGTGAGTTTTATTTCCGAGGGCTGAGTCCCCTGGTCTGTGGTGGTTAGCCACGTGGCAGGTATGTTTTATTCTGTCCCACTGCATCTAAAATAAACTCACGTAAAATGCACACAACATACCGTTCACCATATTAACCCGTTCTGGTTACACTGGTCTGGTTTAGAGTAGAACACGACACCCTTCTGTGATTGGCACATTTGCAGTTTGGACCTCTGTGTCCGTGACCGTGATTTTAGGCAGGCCCTGGCCTTGCTATTCCTGGGCGATCTGGGAGCTCAGGCCAAGAAGCAAGTGCACACAAGAGCCAAAGCTGGGCTAGACACCTAGAGCCAAAGGCAGTGAGATCCGGTCACCAAGGGCCAGGGAACCAACACAAAGCCACCACTCACCCTAGACCTTGACACGGGACAGCACAAAAGCCAGCACCTCAAGCAGAGACAGGAGCCGGGGTGGAGGCGCCTACCTGCGGGCTTGGATGCCAGCGGGGAGGGCGGGAACCTGGTGGAGCTGGCGGAGGACAGTCTGGGCCGGCGTCTCCGGAAGAAGCTTCTCAGCAGCCCACACTTGAGCGATTCTACCAGCGTGGTCTTCCCGGAGCCCGAGTGGCCAAACAGCTTCAGTTTGATCCTGGATTGGAGGTTCTGCGTGGGTCGCAGCTGCTGGATGAAGAGTCCCCGGTGAGCGTCCTAAACACGGGTGCAGGGGGCCCAGTTAGTCACAGAACAAGAGAAGGCTCTGAGCAAATGGCCAGCGCGGATGCTCCCAGTTTGGAACCCCCTCGCCGTGTCTGCCCGATCCGGGATTTCTTTGTGAGGAGAAGTTTTGTTTTTGCTTCTTAAAAGTTTTATTTATTTATTTGACAGAGAGAACACAAGTAGCCAGAGCAGCAGGCAGAGGGAGAGGGAGAAGGCTCTCTGCTGAGCAGGGAGCCAGGTGTGGGGCTCGATCCCAGGACCGCGGAATCATGACCTGAGCTGAAGGCAGATGCTTAAGCCACGGAGCCACCCAGGCACCCCTATGAGGAGAAGTTTTAAGAGTTACTGTCTTAGGAACTTTCACACGTGCCATGCAGTGTTAGTAACTGTGGTCCCGTCGTGTACAGTACATCCCGGCACTCATTTTCTAACTGGAGGTTTGTAGCCTGGTCCACGATTCTTACCCATGGTGCACAGAGGTTTCGTGGAATCCTATCGTAGCCACAAAAAAATTCATGTAAAGTGCAAGTAACATACAATTCCCTGTTTCAGCCATTTTAAAGAGGCCTGAAGCTCCGAGGTGTTACTACACGTACGATGTGTGCAACCAGCCCTGCTCTCTGGTTCTGGAACATTCCATGATGTAAGGAAGCTGAGCCCATCAGCAGTCACTCCTCCCTCCCCACCCAGTCCCTGACAACCACCCATCTGCTCTCTGTCGTCAGCATGTGCCCAGGTCCGTGGCATTTTGGTGCACAAGGAATTGGTTGGAGCAACTCCTGTGAGGTCGCTGATTACCAGGAGAAACAGGGTTGGCCTGTCCGACTGGCCAGGGGCGCCTGCTGCTTTCTGCTTGGAGGGGTCCTGTTCCCCCGGCACCGTGACTGTACCAGATGCTGAGAAGGAGGGCATCACGAGGTACAAAGACAAACAGAGTGGCAGGGCGAGGGCCCGATAACCTTCCCCCTGTCCTCTCTCTCGTCCCTGTAGGGAGAAGCAGAAGAACCCCCAGACTCACTCACTCCCTCACTCGTCAGCAGACATTTATGGAGGCCCCTGTGGGCTCCACACAGTGCAGGAACAGGAAGGCCCAGACCCGGCCCAGATCCGTGTCCTGGGGACGCACAGGTATGTAAACACTGACACCAAACACTGCAAGAGTGCTTCTGTGGGGATGGTGTGGGCAGGGGCTCTGGGCACCCAGACAGCCCACCTAGAGGCTGCAGAGAGAGGCGTCGCTCCCGTGCCCTTGACTCCATCTGGCCTCACAGGCAGCCTCGTTATCCACCCCCAGCTCGATCCTGGCTCCAGAACAGAGTCCCACTGGAGCTGTGGGCTACAGCCTCAGGAGGATTCCTTCCCCGACCCAGGATGGTCCCACTCTAACCAACTGACATCCATGCATCCAGGGGACCCCTCCTGCTGGGATCTCTTCCAGAACATTCCTCCCCTGGAGGCTCTGGCCCAGGTGGGGTTCTCCATTGTGACTCCACCAGACTGTAGGGTGATGTGGGACGCTCTCCCCCTCTTGACTGGGAGCCAGCTTGAGGGCAGAGACAGTGTCCCCAGCACCTGACAGGGAGGTGCTCAATAAAGAGGTGTTCAAGAAATGATAGGACTCGGGGACCCTGCAGGAGCCTCTGGGAGGGAACTGCCTGCTCTTGGTCTCCTGGGACCTCAGGCCTGGCAGACACTGCACCCACTTCCAAACCCGGGGAGGGGGGTTTCCTGCTACTGTCCTCCCGCTGAGCCACTGTGACTTTCTCCATCGGCCACCCAGCAAGCTCGCCTGCCAGACACAGCCCTGCTGAGGGCTCCCTGTCCTCCCCCAGTCTCTGTGTGGGACTGGGACCTTCCTTCTCCACGCCACAACACTGCCCCCTAGCGGGCATGGTGGAAATGGGCGGCCACTTTTTCAGTTGCGGATGTTGGGGAACTCCTGGATGTGGGTGCTGTGAGTTCAAATAGGTTAATGGAAGTCCTGCACGGTAACCATTCCCCGGGTCCACCTGAACTCTGAGTGTCTGCTGAGCATTTTTATAAGAAAAAAACCTTGTTTATGATTATGTGAACTTAGGATTTAACTGCGCGTTTTGGAGAGCATTTTTTTTTTAATTAACATATAATATATTATTAGCCCCAGAGATACAAGTCTGTTAATCGTCAGGCTTACACACTTCACAGCACTCACCACAGCACATACCCTCCCCAATGTCCATAACCCAACCACCCTCTTGGAGAGCATGGTTTAATAGTTACTGAGATTTCCGAGAATGCAGCTGCTTAATGAATTGGTGAAAATATTTAATCTTTCATGAACTCCTACCCTCACTTCTGCAGGGTCAGGTCAGCAGGTGGCCGCAGCGTCCTCGTGCCATCCCAGGCTCCAGGATGCATGGGCGTCTGCAGGCCTGGCCTCAGTGACTGTGGAGGGATCTCCGTATCTGCCAAATTTCACGATGTGCCCTCATGCCCTGGGCCCCAGCATTTACACATGCAAATATACTATTTCACAATAGATACTTCCTTTGATGTCTTTGTTCTGTTATAGGGAGGACATCCCATTCGCTAAAGCAACCTGTGCAGGGACTTGTCTCCTGTGAACTTCATTCAGGAGAGGAAAGGGGGCATCACCAAGTGTGTGTTGCCCATGTTGGGTGGGCTGGGGTTGCAAACCTTGCCTTGCGCAGTGCTCTATAGAGCATGAGGCTGTCCTTATTCTTGTTTCTCCTGTAGCCTCAAATCTCAATGGGTTCAGACGCAAAGCACTGCAGGGGAGGGTGGGGGCTGAGGGGATCTTGCCAGCAATTACTCCGACTTCTGACCCAAGTCAGCATAGAGGCTGGAGATGGTCTGTTCTGACACGGGTACTCATCGGTGTGCTGCTGACCCGGCTGGAAGAAACGGGCACTCGCTGATTTTAACCCGATCCCGGATACTGTTGCAGATAAGTCCTTGACCCCCCCGAAGCAAATCTGCCTCCCCTCACTTTAGGTTAACCCTCAAGTTCAGCCCTTCCTCTCCTTTCCCTTTACATCAGGCCCGGCTCCCACCTCCCCTGCACGGAATCCTGTGAACTACAGTTACCCTGTCCTGTGAGCATCACTGTTCACCATGAGCCTCTCACTGAGTAAGTCACAACACTCACCGCATACTTTGTGACAACACACAGATTCTTTGTGGGAAGCAGTGTCTCCTTCTCCTGGGACAGGAGAAAGGCAGAAAACTTGCTTCGGCTGTAATCCAGCCACTGGGTCATGGGTGCACTGTGCAATTTTAATTGGCTTGTGGCCCTTTTCTGCCTCGTGCCCTGTTGATCTTGGGACCTGACTTTGGTCACCATGTCTATCCTGTGTATAGGATTGAGGGTATGTATGTTTGTCCCCTCTATCTGAGCCTCTCTGGCCCTTGCATTCAGAGGAGACTAGAGGTATGGTAACCATGGGACACTGCTGCTGTCCCAGTGTGCTTCTGGAAGCTTCTCTGGCCCATGGCTGGCTTGTTCCTGGCAGCTGAGGGGCTTCATATCTACACCTTGCTCAGTGCTGCCCTCAACTAAGTACAGTTCACCCTTTGAATTCCATGCAGGGTAGTGGGGGCCAGAAGCCACAGACAATGCGCTTGCCTGATCCCTGGGCCAGCCCCAGAACAGAGACAGGTGGGGATGAAGACTCTCTTTTTGTCCTAACTCTAGCCCAGGTGATCTGTGTCAAGGCTCTGAACTTGGGCCTTGTCCTTGGCCAAGTTACTTCAGTTTTAGCAAGAACTCTGCTCCTTCCTATGTGATGAGATTCCTCACCCCTCCCTGATATCTGATGCCCCCGGACTGTCTTCAGCAAAAATCTTATTGAGTAGCTGTATTGTGACCTTTAACACTCCTATTTTCCTGCTGCCTCAACATCCTCACAAACAGGCTGTGAGCAGTGGCCCAGGCATACCAGGGCGATAAAGTGAGCCATGCCTCAAGGTCACTCCCAAATTTAACCCAGTGACCCTCAAATATTCCCAATGACACTCCTTTTACATCCCACCCTGATCCCCCACAAAGGCCCCCATAAAGGGAAGCAGGGGTCCTCCCTGCTTCCCCTGCATAGATGAGCCCCCGCCCTGCTGGCCTTGCCTGGCACGGACTCATCCACCCTTCACCTTGTCTTTGAGAGACAAGTCTGGAAACGTTTCTCTCTGTCCAGATGGACAGATCTGCCACAAGGCAACCTGGTCCTGCAGGATGATCTGCCCTCCTGCTCACGGAGAGCCTTGGAGAATCTGAACACAACAGATTTTGATTTAGAAGTACAAAATGTCCTGAAATCTCTCCCCTACTACTGGTGGGCAGTGCATTTTCTCTCATCACCACTAGGTGGCGGCACAGGGACGGGTGGTGATCAATGTCCAGGGGAAGGCGGCTGCCAGCAACCTGAGAGTGTGTGTTCTGCAAGGCTGTCTGTGGCTTTGATGCAGAGAGGGCCTGAGGAAGACAGGGAGTGGCTCCTGGCTCACTCTGCAGGCGGCAGAACACTGATCTCTTTGGAGGGAGCACACAAGTCCATCCAGGGTCTCTGTTTACCAAGAGCTCCAAGACTACCTGTGCCCCCTGCTGGCCACAAAGCCCCACCTGGTCAGACCCTCCCAGCAGTAACACCTGGGGAGTGAGGAGCTAGGACCCTGGTGTTTCCTAAATTCTGGCTCCTGCCTGGAAATAGTCTGCTCTGTCTATCCAGCCCCCCACCCCCCACTGCCCCAGCCCCTCCTGGCCAGCCCCAGGCAGGCAGATGTGGCTGGCTGCAGAGGTGAGGCCTAGGGGGGTGGTCCATGGCTGTGGGTCTCTTCTGGGCGGGGCTGCCAGGCTTGGGAAAAGGACAGGAAAGCAGCAAAGAACCTGAGGAATCAGAAGTCTAAACCAGTCCCGCCACTTTCCAGGCGGTCAGACAGTGTATCTGTGTAACTGGGAGGCAGGATATGCACTCCCCATTTATTTCCTTTAACCTTAT